CTTTCCACACAAGTGCTCATTCTACTGAGCCATCTCCCCGGGCCCCTACAAATACATTTTTAAAAAATGTATTTAGTGCAAGGTCTACAGGATCTCACTACACAAATTGGACTCATAGTGATCCTCCTGTTTTCAGCCTCTCAAGCACTGGGATTACTGGCGTGTGCCACCATGTCCAGTCTCAGACTGTATGGCACACGGGAATTGAACCCCAGTACTTGAGCCTGCCTAAACAGGTGCTTTAGTCTACTGAGCTATCTGGCCGGCCCCCTACAAATACATCTTTTTAGTTTTGATATTGATTACTTGGTATTTCCCCTTTTTTGTTTTTGTCTTTGTTTTCTTTTCTTTTTCTGTCTTTTTTTCATAGGGTCTTGATAAGCAACCCAGACTGGCCTTGAGCTCACTTTGTAGTCCAGGTTGGTCTCAAACTCACAATGATCTTCTTGCCTCAGCCTCCTGAGTGCTGGGATTACTGGCATGTGCCACCGTGTCTGGCCCTGTCTTTGTTTTTCACAACAGGGCACTCAGTAGGTTAGGCTGGCCTTGGCCTCACTGTGTAGCTGACTTTGAACTCAAATTGATTCTCTTGCCTCAGCCTCCGGAGTGCTGGGATATAGGCATGTGCCACATACTTGGCTCATTCCCTTCAAAAATGTTTACCTTTCATGGTCATTTTGACTTTAGGCAAGAGCCAGAAGTCACATAGTGCCAGATTTGTTGAATAAGGTACATGATGACATACAGTAATGTTTTTACAAGTGTGCCTTTCCTTCGGATGGCACTTGCAGCATTCACCGGCCTTCCAGAACTGCTTCAGAAAGTGGCAAGTGCTGGGTGTGATGTTGAGGGGTGCAGTGCCACTACTCAGAGGATTGAAGCAAAGCTAACATGAATCTTCTCAATCTTCCTCCTACTTTTGAATGCCAGGCCCTGTACTGAGCCTCCAGGATTCAAAAGTGCCCTCACAGAGCTCAAGATCCACTGGGGGAGGATTTTCCATCTGTCATCCCCACTGGAATTTGAGCTTTTTGAAGGAAGTTGCTTTGTTTTCCTTGTTTGCTTACAGCATTTAGAATACTGCTTGGGCCCAAATCCTTATTGCTCAATAATTATAGTTATTTACTTAGCAAATTGAGTGAACAAAGGAAGTCATCCCAGGAACAGGCAAATTTAGATTTGGTGTCCTAACAAATACAAGCAGGTTATATATATATATATATATATATATATATATATATATGGGAAGGGTCTACAGGGTGTTCAGGGTCTCACTATTAGATCGAAGTGATCTGCCTGTTTACAGCCTCCCAAAAGCTGGGATTATAAGCATGCACCACCACGCCCAGTCTCAATTGCCATCTTGGGGGCCAGGGAAATAGCTCAGCTGCCTAAGTTCCTGCCTGGCAAGCCCAAGGTCGTCAGTTTTATCTCTGGTACCAAAAAAAAAAAAAAAAAACAAAAAACAATTAATTGCCATTTTGGGGGGAGGTGGGGTGGGCAGGCTAGCACGGCAGGCCTGGGGATAGAACCCCTGGCCTCTGCACCTGCTTGCAGGCGCTTTAATCTGCTGAGCTATTTTGCTGGCCCTCAGGTTTTGTTTTTTTGTAGTGTAAATTAAGAGTCCACCTGGTGGTCACAGAAAGAAAAACATTCTAGGGAAAGATGTAAAGATGTAAGTAATGGAAGAAACAGGTTCATCTAAGGAGTTCTCAGTTCCCTACCCATAAACTTCTTAGAATTATTCTTTTTTTGTACCAGGAAATGAACTCAGGACCTTGCGCTAGCCAGGCAGGTGCTATACCACTGAGCTATATCACCAGCCCCTTGGAATTATTCTTGTCTCGCTGGGTATATCTGATGTTCCAGATTTGCGAAGGGTTAGGGTCCTGTTCTCTAAAAAGACCCTTTCTACAATTAATGAGTTTTTGCCCTGTGCTTACTCTATGCCCTCTCAAATTCTGGAGGTCCCTGGACTCCTAGATTCCCATGAGATCCTTTCATCCCCAGCCCTGGTCTCTATTTGCACCGCTAGAATATTTCTGTGCTTCCTGGCAGGACCTCGGGCAAGTCCCTTGTTATCTCTGAGCTCTAGTTCCTTCCTCTACAAAAAAGGGTAGTTGCCATCTCCCAAAATTGTTGTGAGAGTTAAACAAGATATGTCTGCAAGGAAAACATTCAGTAGGTGGTCATTTCAACACCCTGCTTTCACTGCCTTTCTTCCCTAGCACCTGGAGCCTCTCTGCCTCGGAGTTGGATCCAGTTGGCCCAGTTACTGGAGTAGATTAGTTTTGAATGTCACTTAATCTCAGCAGTCCTTCCTTATTCGGAGCCCTGGGGGAGATAGGGCTGGTATAAATCTGCATCAACTTCCTGGATCAGAGACGCAGGAGGATGGAGCAAGGCACTGGAGCCAAGCTGCTGCTGTTGCTGTGTGTGGCGCACTGCAGACATTCACAAGCAGATGGACCGAGGGACCAAGAATCAGTCATTGAAGTGACCAATGGGGGCCCTTGGGGCGACTGGGCCTGGCCTGAGATGTGTCCTGAAGGATACTTTGCCAGCGGATTTTCACTCAAGGTGAGGGCTTAGGCCTAGTCTAGCATGGGGCAGATAAGTGAAGGCGCAGATTGAGAAAGGCAATTCTTGACTGGCCCTCACTCCTCCTCTCTGCCACCTAGGTGGAGCCGGTTCAAGGCATTCCTGGCGACGACACCGCTCTGAACGGGATTCGGCTGCACTGCACTCGTGGGGGTGCCCAGAGTGTCATAGAATCCAAATCTGGAAGGTGGGGGGTAGGAGCCAAGGAGCCCTTAGGGTGAGGGTGTCCCTCCCCACCTGTTATTTGACCCCTCCCAGCAGGCAGTCTCCCTGTGAGAGCTGAGGGAGTAGGTGGATAATTCTCCTTTGCACCTTGAACAAGATCTAGGGGCTAAACCCAACCCACTGAGACAATTTAGCACCCAGCCCGGAGAGTCTCAGGGTCTGGGTCTGGTTGGGGGTTGTTAAGGGGCACCCAGAGCCAGAGCATCCCCCCTTACTTTGCAGGTGGGGTTCGTGGAGTGAGCCAATGTGGTGTCCCAACAGAAGCTTCCTAGTGGCTTTTGCTCTTCGGGTAGAACCAGCTGTGATCCCCGGGGACAACACTGCAGCAAACAACCTGCGCTTCCGCTGCTCAGATGGCACGGAGCTGGAGGGGCCTGGGCTGAATTGGGGAGAATTTGGAGAGTGGAGCAACTCATGCTCCAAAGGTGTGTGTGGCTTGCAGACCAAGATCGAGGAGCCTAGAGGTCTTCGAGATGACACTGCACTGAACGACCTCCGATTATTCTGCTGCCACACTTGAAGTGCTTGCTGCCCTCTTCCTTGCGGGGACAGGGATGCCAGTCCCATCCCCTGCTGTAGTTGCGCCTCCCACTATTAAAACTACTCATTCTGACTTTGATCTCGCTCATTTTTAGGGATAAGGAATTGCCTATCCCTTTTCTCTCCTTACCCAGCACCCACCCAGACCTAGATGCTGGTTTAGAAGGTTTTTTTTTTTTTTTTTTTTTGAGGGCTCAGGATGCCTTCAGGGCATTTCTAGTATGGCTTCGAGAAATGACCTGAAGGCATCCTGAGGCCTCAAAAAAAGGAAAACAAAAAACAAAAAAACCACAAAGAAACCCCTTCTAGATTCTGATTTAGTTTCACATCCATAGCAGGTAGTTGTAAGTTATCATCCCCCTAGTTCAGAAAAATGTTCAAAGGCCAGTGAGATAGCTCAGTGGACTAAGCACCTGCTTAGGCAAGCACATGGACTGGGGTTTGATCCCTGATCCCTAGCACTACATGCCTTGCCTGCCCTGCCCCTGGGCATGCTGAGCCGACCATGACCACAGAGACTGGGCCTGGTGGCACACACCTGTAATCCCAAGCCTTGGGAAGGCTGAAACCAGTCCAAGCTACATAGTGAGACCCTGTACCAAATACATTTTAAAAAAGAAGAAAAAAAAAGCCCAGAAAGCACACGATTCTTTTGACCCAGTGAAGGAAGACTTGGCTTTCTGAGGACATCTGGCCCATTAAGAGCCCAGGTGACCTTTCAGAACCAGTGGTCACCTTAGATTAGAAGCTTCCACCAGGTTAGGTGACAAAATGTTGTAATGGTTTTAAAGCTTCATTTTCCAGAGTTTAGGAGGCTAAACTATCTTTTTTCATAGTTTCTGCTCTCTCAAATCCATAGTGTTTTTGTGTTTTGTTTGTTTTGAGATGATCTCACTATATAGACGAAAGTGACCTCAAACTTCTGGTCTTTTTGCCTCGGCCTCCTGAGTGCTACATTACAGGCATGTGGTACTACACCGGGCCCCATACTATGTATTTAGTACAGCATCTCACTAGGCAGCTCAGCCTCATAGAATTTGGAATTTGGGAAACAAATTCCTCCTGTTTTCAGCCTGGGACCTTTTTATGTATTTAGTATCGGGTCTTACTACGCAGCTTGGACTCAGTGATCCATTTGTTTTCAGCATCCCCAGTGCTGGGATTACAGGTGTGCACCACCACAGCTGGACTCAGTGGCTGGCTCAGCATGCCTGGGGGTGGGGCCGGTGCAGCCAGGGGTGCTGGGGATTGAATCCCAGTCCCTGTCCCCCCCTTTAGTCTGCTAAACTATCTTGGCAGCTTTCGTGTATGTGGTCATCCCCCCACAGGACACCATCTGAGACTGGGAAGGGAGCTCAAGGCAGTTTATTACAGAAAGGCAATGAGAAGGAGGGCCCGGCAGGCATCCAGAAATGAGCAGATTTAACTCAGTGTCCAGCAGATCCTCACTCAACCGTGCCCTAGGAAGAGAAAGTGAGTGAGAAAGCAGCCAGGAGCAAGCAGGCTGCCCGCACAACTCCCCCTCATGTTGTCCCACCTTTTTCCTGCAATCTCCACAGAAGACACCAACGGTCGCATTCACCAGCTGTATTCCACAAAGTATGATCTCCAGGCCTGAAGCAGCCATCAGCAAGGAGAACAGCGTCACATTCCAGGGGACTATGTTAGGTGGCTCCTGGCACAAATTCCACTGAGTACTGTTGATCAGGTAACTGCCTCTGTGGATGGGCAGGGTCACATGAGACAAAGAGGTCACCACTGAACAAGTCAAAAGGGTGTGTAAAGTGCTAATTGGGTACAAGGGGAGACAGTGCTTCTACACCAGGTTTCCTGGCCTATGTGGGCAGGAGATAGGAAGGCAGAGACACACCCAATGGGGGACTAAATATAAGCTACATCTTACGCTGTTTCTTGGAAGTGATAGTCCCACTCTCCATTCATTAAACATTTGGGTCCAATTCGGAGCCCGGCTGCTGACACAGAGAGACAGTAGATGGCACCAAGCAATCCGAAGGCCGAGCAGAAGACTGAACGTAGCATCTGGAATGCGGGTGCAAGATGAGGTAAATGAGGCCCCACCCTGGGACCTCCCCATCCTCCATAACCCAGAGCATCCCTCCAGCAGCTTAAAAATACTTTCCCTGGGGATGGGGATACAGGTCAGAGGTATACCCTGGAAAATACAATTCTTGTCAAACCCTGGGTTTGGAGTTAAGCGTACCCTAAGAGCTAGGGCCACAGCGGCTCATGGGTCCTCATGGTCTGGCTCATTAAAGTCTAAATTTGTGGTGCCAGGAGGGAATGAGGTAGATGAATCTGGGACATCAAAGGGATTCACTGAGCTATAAATTCTGTGGAGGGTGCTGTGTCTCTGTGAAGACAGTTTAAGAGACCAGGTTCTGAATCTCTCTGAATCGCTCTCGCTCTCACTCTCGCTCTCGCTTGCTGTATGGGGGATTGAATTTGGAAACTTGTGATGTATATCCCTAGCTCCTGAATCCCTTCTTAATTTTGTTACTTATCCATCTTACTCTACAGCGGTTTCCACAGCATCCTGCGCCACAACAGCCCTTGCCCCCGGCTCGAACAGCTGCAATTCCAGGACACAGTACCTGTGGGACCAGAGTCAGTGTGACAGTGGGTCTCCCTGGATTCTCCAGACCTTCTTTGTAGTCTTCATGGCTTACCTCCTCCAGGAAGCTGCCTATAATTATAATCCCACAGCCCTTTGGACCATAGGAAGACCTCATCTTTACCTCTTCCAGAGCACTACTGGAACTATCTTAATTTACTCTTATTTATGTGCCTTCCTTATCTCTGTCTACATTGCAGCTTCCTGGAGGTTAGGGTCCAGTACTATGTATTTCCCACCAATCTTCACATATAGTAGATAGCCAGCTGAATGGGGATCAGGAGGCTTGGGCTGAAAGCCAATCATACACTACTTCCCACTCCATGCATTGACTGGTTTTTCTGGGTCTCAGTTTGGTCCTCTGTAAAATGAATTTGTAAGACCTACTTACCTCCCAGGGCTGTTCTCCAGATTTGAAGAGATAGCAATATGCCTGGTGTCCAGACTAGCTCAGAGTAAATTCACCACCACATGAATGTCTTTAGGAGGGAGAAGGGCAGTGCTTTCAAAAGATCTGGTAAACTGGGTTTATGACAGATTGTGGACAAGTAGTTTGTAGATGCACTGTAGGATTTCCCAGAATCTAGTCCTTGATTTTTTTTTTCTCTCTTAGTGGTCTTTCTTACAAGTTCTACTCCCTCCCAAGAATCAGCCATTCTCCCTGCCCACAGTTGCCTCCAGATACCTAGAAATCAAAATCTAACTACTGCTTAATATATTCACTCATATATATTGGTTTTAGCTCAGATTGAGGCTGCCTCATACTGACCTCATAATACTCCCTAAATTCATGACCCTTTGATTTTCTTGTTTTGTTTTTGTTTTTGAAATAGGGTCTCACTGTGTAGCCTAAGCTGGCCTCAGATTTGTGGCATTCCTCCTACCTCAGCTTCCCAAGTGTTGAGATTACAGGTGTGCTCCACCACATTCAGCTCCTTCCCCACATTTAGTCCCTGACCAACTTCCATAAGGAAGGTATTGTCAGCTTCCGTACCAGATTCTCATAGTCCCATGCTGCTCCACACTCCATCCCAGAGACCCCTACTGTATCAAACTTAGTCTTCAACTGTTTTTTTTCTTTGCTCAAGAGATGTAGGTCTCTTTACAGAGTAGCCCATCAAGATTTAACCCTAGCAAAGCCTTCAACACTCCACTCTGCCTCCAGCCTTTTTTTTTTCTTTTTGAGACAGGGTCTCACCATGTATTACAGGTTAGACTTGAGCTCACTTTGTAGCCCAGGCTGGCTTCGAACTTGGGGTGATCCTTCTGCCTCAGACTTCTGAGTGCTGAGACTACAAATGTGTGCTGCCATGCCCAGTCTGCTACAACATATAAGGCAACATTTTGTGCTTCTCCAGGGAAACGTTTAAGGGTTTTAGTTCTACTATATCATCCAACCTCTGAGAAACACCTCCAAGTTGAACTGACATTCCACTAGATACATCTTTTCTTCCATCTTATGAAAAATCCAGAGCCAGAGCTGACTCCTTTCTTAGTCACTTTGCTGAGGCCATTCACTGGGAGGCTCCGAGATCCCCAAAATTACCTTTTTCTTTTTCTTTCCTTTAGTTCTTTTTAAACAAGGCCTGGCTATGTGATTCAGGTGGCCTTGGACTTACTAGTACAAACTGGTCTCAAATTCAAGGCAAACCTACCACCTCAGCCTTCCAAGTACAGGACACCCCATCTCCAAACCTATAGAAAAACTCCAAGCCTAGGAATGTCCTGGGGAGGGGAGGCAGAGTCTGGGGAAACCTGTACTCTGCCCTCTGGCCTGGACAGTGCAGATAGGGAGGGTGTATAGAGAAAGGGTAGCTGATAATCACCTGTAGATGTGGTGCTGTGCCTGGGATGCATGGCGGTGGTGGGGGGCACATGCTGCTAATTTTCCTCTGTACCTGCTACAAGTTGAATCCAGGGGGTAGGTGCCTGGCTTCATGCCTTGGACAGTGATGTCTTCCTGCTGGTGGTCTCTTAGGAGTGGCTAAAGCTGGAAATTGATCCTATGTGGGAGGGCAGGATGAGGCCTCATTGCCTAAAGCAGTCAAGCTACCTCAGTCTTGAGAAAAACATCCCTCAGGGACATTGTGGGCTATTAGGCAAGCTTGTGTCTTGCAACTTTGGTGGTGCTTTGCCAATGTCATGGTCATGGTCCACCACATGATCCCAACTATTATCTCTTGTCTTATTTTCTAAATCTTCTCCCGTTTTCTCCAAAAGACACCTGTCAAGCTGCTTACTGTAAGGTCCCATCCTCCGCATCAGTGTCCCCACTGTGCTTTCTCCAGATGCATCAGCAGCCCCTCCTCCTCCTCACTTTCACCTGGTGTCTGGGCTTCTTCCTGGGTGTGCCTGCTTCAGAGGACGTGTCCTGGGGGATCTACTGCCGCTGCTACCACCACTGGCACTAATGTGGTCACCTTTATTTTTGATATCTGGGGTCACTGCGCCCGGAGTACTAAACAAAGCGTAGCCTCTGTGTGCAGCAGTCAGTCATAAGGCCGTATGTGGAAAAGATGGCCTTCACTGCTGATGTCTTCACCACAGCTGTGTTTAGATGTCCAATAAAGACTCAAAAATTGATGGATTTGGTATCATTCTTGGTTATATTGCTCGTCTGGATTTTCAAGGAGATGGTGGCCACCAGTACAAAGGCTGAACTCAGACAGCTATTTCCTCCTTTGGGTCATAGGGTCTGCAGCAGCTGCCTCTGGGGACAGGGCTTGCCTTCCTGCCCCGAAAGGTCTGGAGGAAGCTGCACAGCACGCAAAAGGAGGTGGTGCGTTGCCTTCGGGTGGAAACTTTTGGAGGGGTGACGCAGTGGCTCCTGCCCAGCCACAGCCTAGAAAGCTGAATTCAGCTCAGGTTGCCTCTGCTACTGCCCCTCAACTCCTCTTGCCTGTGCAATTCTTGCCCAATGGAACAAACCAGGATTTTTTAAAATGTTAAGGTAAAGCCTGTGTTGGACAGGTTGGCTTCTCCTGCTTCAGTCTTCCAAGTAGTTGGCTGGCTTACTAATTATTTTTTAATTTTCTTTTTACTTTTACTTTTTAAAATTTATTTTTGAGCGGAGGGATGTAGTTAAGTGGTGGAGTGCTTGACTGCTTTGCACAAGGGCTTGAGTCTTCACAAGCTCAAAAATACACTTATAATAAATTATATTTTATGCTGGGCATAGTGGCACATGCCTGTAATCTCAGCACTTGGGAGACTGAGGCAGGAAGATCACTATGAGTTTGAGGCTGCCCTCGGCTACAAAGTGAGTTCAAGGCCATCCTGAACTGCATAGTGAAATCCTGTCTCAAAAAACCCTAATAAAATAAGAAAGAAAAAAAAAACCAAGTAAGGAATACACATGCATGTTCACCTAAAGACACCCAGGAATGTTCATAATAGCAATAAAGTCAGGGGCCAGGAAGATGGCTCAGCAGAATAAGTGCTTGCCTGGCAAGCACAAGGGCCTGAGTTTAATCCCCAGTTCCACCAAAATAAAAACAAAAACAAAAGGAATAAACCCAAATTGAGTACTATCCAAATGTCCATAGACTTCAGAATGTTTAAATAAATTGAGGTGTGTGTGTGTGTGTGTGCGCGCGCACGCGTGTGTGTGTGTGTGTGTGTGTGTGTTTCTTGTTTGCCACAGGGTTTCACTATAAGGTTCAAGCTGGTCTTGTATTCACAGTGAACCTCCTGCCTCAGCCTCCCAGGTGCTGAGATTACAGGTGTGTGCCACCATGCCTTGCTAAATTGAGGTATATTTTCACAGTGGAATATATAAGAAATTTTGAAAACTATAGCTATATATAATAATATTAATGAAACACTAAAACAAAAATTCTGAAGTGTCAGAAGAGATGGAAATGTTTTTCAATCATTCTCTACTTCAGATTACTCGTTGTGACTTTCAAGGGTGACAACTATCTGGCTTCTGCCCACCTCGGATCTCATCTCATTAAACCTCAGGTACACTGGCTGCCCTTCTGATCCTCAGATCTGTGGAGTGCCTGTTTGTGCCTTCCTGCCTTCTTTTATCATTTTGTATATGAGCTTAGACAATCCGGAAATGCTATTAAATGTGGCCCTGGCTAGAGGTATAGCTCAATAGTAGTGCATGTGCTTACTATACACCAAGTCCTGGGTTCAGTCTTCAGTACACACACACACACACACACACACACACACACACACACAGCACACCACACACCATACCACATATGTGCGCGCACAAACACCCAAGGCTGCCCCTACCTTTTCCTAGGAGCTCTTTATTTCAAAATTTTACCTACTTCAACTTGAAGTTGTCTTGATTACTTTATCTCCTTAATTCATCCAGTGGTTTAACCAGGTACCTGTTAGGTAGTCACACTGGTGTAGGCACAAGGCACATAGAAGCCTACATATCAGGTATCAGATAGTCCCTGTTGTCAGGAGGGTTCTGGTCCTTTTTCCTTAGTACCTTTTGCTTCATCAATGGGAACTCAGCTTCAGGGCAAGTGGGGGGCAGGGACTTTGTCCGTGACCCTGTGGTCTAATGTGGCACCTCCTGAGTGACAGTGAGTGAAAGGGGGGAGTAAGGCAGCCGTGCATGAGGATGTTGAGAGAGCAGGTGTGGAGTTTCCTGAAGCACTGTGGTTATTTTAGGTGGAGGAGTAGGGGGTAGTTTAGGCTGGAAAGGGAGTGGGTGAGTGTACCTGGGAGAAGGGTGACATTTCTGAAACAGTGGAGGGGCAGGGTTAGAGATGGAGTAGAATTCAACAACTGTGAATCTCTGCAGCAGATGGGGAGTAGGAGAAGAGATGCCAGAGGGTAAGAGGAGTTGTTGGTTAAAAGAGAGAGCTTTCCCCATTTAGCTAATAGAGGTGTGCCGAGCAAAAGGGACAAAGGTGAAACTTCCAGAAGATTTAATCAGTCAGTTGTGCTGAGAATTCAGGAACTTACTGGGTAGATTTTTTTTTTTTTTTTTGTACTGGGAATAGAACTCAGGGCTTCATTCTGAGCTACCTGCCTACCTACACCCTTTCAATTTTGAGACAGCCTCATTAAGTCCCAAAGTTGCCAAGCTGAGCTGTAACTTGTGATCTTCCTATCTTGGCCTCCCAGAGTGCTTGGATTTCAGGCAAGAACCACCAGCCCAGCTAGATCTTTCATTTTTACTCCATGAAGATGTTGCACTAGGTTAACCATCCTAAAGTTTTAAATGAGGAGAGAGTTGGAAAATATGGCTCAGTAAGCCTAGGAGGTGTGATTCCTTTGCCCCCATTTCTCCTGCCAGAAGACTTGAGGGCTCCTTCTCTGCCGTACTGACAGAGGTGCTGAGCGTCTTACCCCTAGCACTCGGCACTGTGGGTACCGACGAGTGTGGGCTGACAGTGACTGGACATGGAGGAAGGGAAGGAAAACACTGACCTGACAGGTAGAGCAGCTGATCTATGGTGTCACCCCCTGGCTCTGGGCATTTTCATTCCCCCCATGCCTATTATTACCCTATCTCATAACCTTGCACACAACCAGCTGCTCCTTCTTCTACCCTGGTAGGTAAGTATTCCCAGCATCTGCTAAAGAGTGGAGGTGGAAAGGGGCAGGTAAGACATACCCACCCGCCCCAGAAAGGAAGCTTTTTAGAGACTTGAAGTTCCTTGCCTTCCTCTTCCCCTCAAAACTTCAGTTCAGGGTGCTGAGACCCCCCTTGAACTGTCTGCACATGCTTAGAATGTATGAGCAGGTGGGGCAGCCTTCTAGATCCCAGAAAGCCCTTCCTATCCCCTCTCAGACTCGATCCTTTCCCTCTCTCCCTCCATGTCTTGTTCTGCATACTGCAGAGTGGTACCCGGCTCCCTGGCCCGTATTCCAGCTTTCTCACCATCAGGCCGCCACCGATGAAGCCAGCCATGAGCCAGGCTTGCAAGCTGAGATGGCTGTTGGTCCAGGTGGTCTTCCCATCAGGCACCAGCAGGAGAGAATTAACCACAATGCAGACCAGGGAGAGCAGGATGAGTGAGAGCCCCACGCAGCGGGCACACTTTCCTGTGCACATGGCAAGACGTCAGGACAGGCAGTCAGTGAGTGAAAGTGAGCTGCAGGTTTCTGGGCCCAGAGGAAACAGGTGGAACAGAGCAAAGGTCAGAGAAGAGGTGTGGCAGGAGCTGGCAGGATCAGAATGATAAGGGAGAGAGGCCTGGAGGAGGTGGAAGGACCACATGTCAGGAGGCGGAGTGGAGGATGTGGTGATGGAGGTTGTGGGAGAGCTTGTCACACAGAGGAAGCTGCCTGGGGTCAGCGTCTTCTTTCTCCTTGTCTATACACTGCTCTCCATATCCCCTCCTGAGTTCCTTACCTGTTTGAAGACTTAGCCAAGTTCTTTCATGTCTCTTAGTCTCAGTCGTCTCCTCTGTGTAGAGAGTGGTGAGATCCCACATAGGCTGGTTGTATGCAGGACGGGGTGACAAGTTTTTTTTGTTTTGTTTTATTTTGGTTTTTGGAGACAGAATCTCACTACGTACTCCATGCTGGCCTTGAATTCAATGTGGAGTCCAGGCTAGCCTTGAACTCATGGCAATCCTCCTATCTCAGCCTCCTGAATGCTGGGGTTATAGGCATTGGTCACTATGTCCAGTTTATGACAAGTATTTTGTAAAGAAGGAAGTAGGACTTGGGTAATCTGTTTGTGAGACAGCTTGAGTCATTAGAGAATAAGATAGTCCAAAACTGAAAGATACATGAAGAAGGAAGTGACCACAAGCCACAACGAATTAAACAATACATGAGCAGAAGCTGCAGCAGAAGAACTATGTAGCGAGCTGCTTTCAGGAAACAGTGCAGGAGGAAGCAGCACAAGGCCTGGGAGGCCAAGATAGAGACTCTGGGTCTGGGGGAAGTTGCGGGGAGGGGGGTGCCAATGAGTGGCATAGCTGCTAGGTTGCCAGAATGGATGTTGAACTACTAGAGCCAACTGTCATGTCCCAAATAGTGGACCTTCCCACTGTAGACCTGAAAGGATGGGGACTCAGCCTTTGGCTCAGTGGCAGAGTGTTGGCTTAACAGTAGGCCACATGTTTGTCCAATAATCTCATCAATGGAATCTGAAGCTGGTCATGGGGCCAGGGAGATAGTTCAGTAGCATAAGCACCTGCCTGGCAAGCACAAGGTTCTGAGATTGATCTCCAGTACCAAAAAAATTATTGAAACTGGTCATGGTGGCACCAGCACTCTTTCTGTGTTAAAATAATAAAAATAAATTAAAAAAAAAGTTGGGATGTAGCTGATTGTGAGTTCAATTGCAGTCAAGAAAGAAAGAAAGAAAAAAAGAAAAGCTTGAGACCAGCCTAGAGAACTTAGTGAGATTTATCTTTTTTTTTTTTTTTTTTTCAGAACTGGGGTCTGAACTCAGGACCTTGTGTTCACCAGGCAAGTGCTTATTCTACTGAGCTATCTCCCCAACCCTGAGATTTATCTTCATAAGAAAATGATAAGGGCTGGGGAGGCATGTCAGTACTTGTGTCAGTCAGCTTTTCGTCACAGACCCAACATAAAGGAGGTTTACATTTCAGAGGTGGCAGTCCATGGTACACTGGCTCCACTGCAGAGACAGAAGAGCACAGTGCAGAAAAACTGCTCCCCTCATGGCGGCCAGAAAGTAGGGACAGCAAAGAGGGTGACAGATGAGAGGCCCTTCAAGGGTACAATCCAAGAGTTCACTGTCACCCACTGTCCAGCTAGGCCCCACCTCCTACCCATTCAGCCATGAACTCGTCAATGGGTGAATCCATTGATCAGGTCTGCACTCAGGATCCAGTCACCTCTGGAGGCCCAACCTCAGAACTGCACTGGAACCAAGCTCTCAACACAGGAGTCTTGAGGGAATACTGCATCTGTATTAATGAACCAATAGTA